CATTATGTATATATATCTTAAAAATCAAATACTTCTAATTTACCATCTTATAATATATATATATATATATATATTTTTACGTATCTACTTATTTGTTACTTTCCGGTAGAAATTCTTTCCGAAGAACTTCAGCGATACAAGTCCCATCTTGATTAAAACTAGTTTATTCTTTCTTGATACAACTTTTAGTAATACACAGAATTTTCACAGTCACTTTAAACTTAACTACTTCTATAAACACACGCTATAATTCACAGCGATTCACACACTTTGTTTATGGTGCCTACTGTTCGCTTGACTCAATTATCTACATCTCCAATCTATCTCTATCTGCCTATATTGCTGGCTTTCTTTGCCAGGCTTACGTACTAAAAAAAGAGGGCATCTAGCAAACACTCGGACATTCGCAGGGTTCCCTGATAATTCTAGAAACTCCAGCATGCATGCTCCCAGCATCACGTGACTTCCGCTGTCGTAACATATATATATATATATATACATATACGTACAATATTAGACTATTCTAGTTTCTCTCTCCTTCATTAATTTCTTCAATTTCATACCTCTTACTTATTGTCTTTCCTATACGTCTCAAGTTTTCATGGTTTCACAATTCATACTAACTTTACACAACCAGTTACTTCTGCCCTTTTACTTTATTTAATGAAAGGGCACATTTTTAAAGCACTGAAAGAATATTTGAATGATTAGAATAGAAGACAGAAGTGATGAAAATAGAAACAAAAGGAAATGTGGTTCATAGAACAATTAAAGAAAGACCTAGAAAAGCCAGAGAATGGAAGGAAAATTGAAAGTTATTACAAATAGAGGTAAAGGTTCTCAAGATGTTGATAACAAAAATAGGAAAAAATAATTCATACTACAATACAAGAAAATAGAGAAGAAAGGACAGATACAGTAACAACACTAGATGGAACCCTAAAGGTGCTGCCATACAATATACATATGTTCAAATGACAAAAAAAAATAAAGATATAGACAAAGAAATTTCAATAGGATTGAAGATATAAGGCATGGAGAGAATTATACAAAAGACCTATGATTTTTAAATATATGATAAAGTTCCAAAAATTTTTTAGGTAAAGAGGATCAGAATTTTTTGAAAATTAACTTAACAGAAAATAATTCGCAAGAAAATGAAATACAATTACTAGCAAAAGCATTAACATCCATAAATAAATTTAATAAAATACAACTGGCTGAAGATATGTATGAAGTTTCTAGTAAAAGGTAAATCAGATTTTGATCATGTTCAAGAAATAAGCCCAGAATTACAGTTAGTTTGTCAAATAATTATATTATATTCAATCACTAAAAAACAAGGGAAGGATAATTTAACTTTAAAGGAACAGAAATTGTTCAAGAAACTTAAAACTCCTAATTTGATCTTTCAAAAAGCAGATAAAGATCAAATTTGGATAGTTATGACCCAAAAATTTTATAATAAGATGATTTATGAACATTTTAGGTTTACCAAAAAAGGGAAGTTTAAATAAACTGAAATGCATACATTTCATAAAAGAAGAATTAAAGAATTTTGTTGATGAATTGAAGGTGATACTAACCAGAAAAAATTTTAAGTAATTCAGAAATTGGGTACTTTTATGTGCTTTCTCAGATCCATAAAAAAAAAGAGAAATTAATAAATTATTGTTTGAAACAAGAAGTGAATATATTAATATTGGAAAACCTCCAAATATTTCGAGAGGACCAATTGCAAGAGGTAATCAAAAAATTACTGAAAATTTAAGTGACCTTTTGGACATACTGTTAAAACCTTTTTTTTTTATCTCATATTCTGAATCTTACTAAGTGTGATTTTGAATTTCATCAAATCACAACTCTGTCTGTTCCCTGGTCTCATGTTTCTGTTAGCTAGTGTGGGTTTTCTTGGGATCAGTATCAGTAATTGTAGTGGCTTGTTCTGCTGCTGACGTAAAACATTCTCTCTTCTGCAGTTCTTTCTGTGCCAAGAACCATTCAAAAGACTCCACATATCAGTTTGGGTCATTTTCTGTTAACTTTGGGGATATGTACAACTTGTAAAGATGGAAGTTCTATTGCTTAAAAATCTGGAGCACACTTCTTTGGCTTATTCCTGTTTTTTGTACAATTTGATGAGTTGCCATTTTTGGGCTTGCTAAGAAATGACCTGACAACTATGTCAAAAACATCCTCATTCAGTGGTGAAGCTCTTTCACTACATTTACAATTGGACACAGAACTAATTTCATAAAATTTAACAAATAAATGACTAACACTTATTAAATTGGGTAATAACCTACTACTGACTCAATCCAGTACCTCCATATATTCATGCAAATTTAATGACATCCAAACTAATTACTGTAACTAAAAGAAACGGTGAGTGAAATAATAATATGACTTAGAAAAATCATAGTTAAATACAGGATTTAGAAATGTTATGGTGGTGTGCAACATAGTGACACTCTTTATTATATTTAACAAGTCAGAATACCTCTAATGTCATGTTGTCAACATAATTGCCAGTGTACTCCGATCCATCATGTAGAACTGCACCATAAGGACCAACAGATCCTGCCACCAAGGGTTTTGTTTTCCCTTTAAAAATAAATGGTAAACTTTATTTATTTATTTTTATGGAATGTCAACATTCTTAACATTTTCATCACAACTAATTACCCATAGAAAATAGTTTAGAAACAAATTACCACAAAAGGTAGATGTCAAATTCAAATATTTTAATGTGACACATTATAAAATGAACACTAAGCAGGGTCAACTGCAGTTGTATACTGTGATAAAGAAAATGCAATCAATTTATAATTTGTATTTATTATTGAACAGCATTTTTAGGCTTTGTATTTATTTTGCCATATTATTTTAGTAAGTTTGATATTCAAAATCAATTCAAAAGCTAATATACATTGCAAGAAGTTAAAAAAGAAACTCCTTGGTCCCTAAAAATAAAATTTCTTAGCATTCCTTTACTTCACTTATTGCTTTACTTTACAATAAAATACTCAATTTCAATACTCCAAGGTATTGTAGTAGGAATATTATTTAACCTACTTAATAATTTTTACTGACTGCACAGATAAATTTAGTATGCAAGCCATTATACATGACATATTTGATAAGTATAATGTTATAGGCTCAGATGATATCTAATTCAGCTAACATTTTCTTACATAACTAACTTCTCTGTCACTATGTGATTATGAGAAAGAAATATTACAGAGATTAAAAGCAAAAATCCACATAAAATAAACAACATTATGAAAATCAATTCTGCTATTTTTTGATATCTAATTAAGTATTTGTATTCTTTATATGTCAAACTTCACATTATTGTATGAAAACTTGTAAAACACAGATAAAATATTACATTATTAGTATTTGAAAAAAGCAAATCTACATGTATAACAATATGTACAGAAAGAGAGAGAGAGAAAGGAAAAAAAAGAGACCTGCCAGTTCCATCTGAATATGATACTGACTCCAGAAGTTTTCACAAGCTTGGATGGCTAAAGAAACACTTGATCCTATCAGCTTTTCAGCCTCTTCAACAGAAGCATTCAGGTATTTCTCAAAACCTTCAACACTAGCCTGATAACTTGCAGTTGTGATTATATCCGATCCACTCATTAGGTAACTTGATATGTGAAAAAGTCAAAAACATGCAGGACTATTAACCCCCACCCACTCATGGAATACACATCACACTGACGAAACATGACTCGTTATGTAGAAAGTTTATTTTCCATAGTTTCCTTATCAAATGCTAAAACATGACACTTTCTTATTCACCCTTTACTGGCATCACTTATCTGCCAAGTTAAATTTATAAATGTTAGTCATATTTTATCATGTTAATAATGCCATATTAGATATTTATTTGATAATTTTAATATAAAATGAAGTAAGACAGAAAGTTAAATATTTGAATACTGAAAATAATTCCAACACACTTAACAAGTATTTATGTTTATGTTATACTCTAAAACTCCTTTAACTTAAAGCTACTAAGGATTTACATGTGATAATTTGCTGTGATAACACTGAACTTTGTTTAATCTACAAAAGATTGTAATAGTCATTAAAAAACTGAAAAGTCTCATCTCTTTATTTATGAAAATCAACAGATAAAAGATAAATCAATATAACTCTTCAAACTATCAATAAGTATTTCTTACAAATTTTCTACTATTGAGCATTTTTTGTTCATTATTAACTTAAACAATATATGATCAGGAAGTGCTAGGCATAATGAGAAAATCAAAGTTACAGTTTCTATGGTGTTTTGAGTCTGTTTTACTTCACCACACAGTAACCTAAATTAATTTAGGTGTCTATATTGTGAAGTAAAATGGATTCAAAACATCATAGATATTATATATAATTCACCATTGTTAGAGGCCTAATGGTATTTTTTTTTGGTTTGCTGACCCAAGCTGTGCTAATGAGCCTTGAATATGTGAAACTGCAGTCCACAGAAAAAGGTGCAGCCAATCAAAGAATGCATTAGGCCTCTACATCACAGGTTCTCTTTTCAATTTCACCTCTGATGAAAAAGAAAAGAAATATTTTACATATATAAACCAAGTTATAGTTTACTTTTTACTGCATAGCAAAAAAAAATAATAATTTTTTAAAAATATTTTTTAATATTTTAGTACACAGATTTGAATTGAAAATTGCCAGTAACAACTGGGACAGAAAAAATGTTTTAATAACCAAATAGTTGCAAGATATACTACCGAGTTAACCCCTTTTTAACCAAATTACTATAATACACCATAATTATACTTGTCATAAGATATTAGTATTAGGCCTATTATATTTTTAACACTTCATTCTTTATCTAGTCCCTTAGGAATTTTCAAGAATTAGAAGAGTGTATAACAATATGCTCATCGCATTCTGTTTGCCATATACATTGCCGAGGAAAAGTTTCACTCTATATTGAGTTCTTCAGACCAAAAGTATTAAGAAATATAATAGGCCTAATACTAATGTCTTATGACAAATACAATTAATTATATTCATGCTGTTGTTCTTATAATGCCTTATTGTTATAAGACAATGAGGTTAACACCAATATGTGAATCAATATAATCTTACTCCAAGTTAAAATACATAATAGAAATATTGGAAAGACTGATTAGTTTCTTGACAGAGATGGTTAAGATGAAAAATGTCCTAAAATTACTTATTTAAAGAAACAAACTTTTGTGAAATTATATACATGGTAAATAGCAGTCTTAAAAACTGTCCAGATTGATTCAGTAAAAATATTTATAATCTAAGTGTGCTCTACCTCAATACCAGCTTACAATGTACTACTGTAATTCATTCCTTCAAAGCAAAATTTTCCATTCAAATTCTCATTATCTGAAGCAACCAGCTTACTTACTTTGTCATTATTCTTACAAACTCAGAATAAAAGTATATAGTTCTCAGGTAGATTGGCAATAACTAATTTCAACAGTCATATATTTATTTCAACACAAAAGTTCTGTGCCTTTAAAACCTCTCTGGATTGCAAAGGTATTACTGATATCCTGTAATTTCTTTTCCTTTTCACAGTAGAAATACTTAACCAAATTGTAAGAAACTGAGCACAAACTTACTAAATTGTATCCAGCTTCTCCTTAAAAACGTTCATAAAATTTGATGTAGTTCATCTGTTGTTTCATATGTTATCAAATTTCCAAAATTTTGTTGAGACACTTCCTTTTGTTTTAGAAAGTTCCATTTTGTATAAGCAATAAGTTTCAACTTGGTTGATATTCATTAGCATATTTTTTTTAAAACTTTATATTGCCAATTGCAGTAGTTACCAGTTCTAGCTAAAAGTCATAAAAAACATGGCAAAAACTGACATAGATTTATCAGTGACAAATGACCTGGCCTGTCACAATGTCTCAGGTCTTGCTAAATAATATTCTTGGTAAAAATCAATTTATATGTAATAAGCATGGTTTCTCTTAGATAAAAAATAAGGGCTTTTACATATCTGTTGCTGTTGTTTGAATATGATAACAATAATACTCAACAAAAAAGGATCCGAGTCACATGCGAGTCATCAAAAATTCTGCTATGGCATACTCTACTCTCTAAACCTAACTAGATATATTTGATGTTTTGTCGGAGAAGAAAATTTCTGTAGCTTTCAAACATCCTTTAAAACTAAAATATTTTGAGAAATGAACAGAACATCTAAAAAACTAAATAAATTCCCAGATCTATGATTTTTCTTGAGACTTATAAACTTTCCATTAAATTCCATTGTCCTTCTCTGCAGGAGTTACATCTAATCACTTTCCCACAAAGCCATGAATTACTTCTCACACCACTTTAATGACATAAATAGCTTATAATTTGCTCTAAACAATGATTTTTAAACTTTGCCTATAGCTATTCTCAAAGGTATGCTTGACTATTAGTTGTCACATCATATTCTATGAGATCATAAAAGGATGTGAACAAAGGCCTGTAATAATAAAACATCAGACAGAGAAATTAGACTTAGCTAATTGTATTCTCAAGGGATGGTAGTTTCTTAGCATATAAATTCTTTGTTTGCAGATGGGAAGACAAGTTCTAAATATTTTAGTAAATGAACTGCTTACAGGTGAGACTCCTCAGAGCAGCACAGAAATGTAAGTTGGAACATTTTATTTAGTTTTCATTCCAACACTATATAAATGCTACAAAATGACAAAATATAAATTCTAAAATATTTTTCAGCAAAAAATTGTTAAAACAAAAATTATTAATATTCTTAAATTTCAAAATTTGATATGCAGGTGTGCATTTGACACATGAAAGATGCTCACTTGTTCAGAAACTTAAAATACACTACAAAACCTGTTTGTTTTTGATGTTTACTTTTGTTATAATATTCATTTACTGTGGTAAAATATTAGGTCATCAAGAAATTAATGTCACTTTTGTAGATGAAAAAACCCAAACAACTTATATATAAAAAAACATTTAGTAAACAAAACAGTCTCCATTTTATTGATGATGTTTTTCCATCTTACAATCAGGTTGTTAATACCCTGATTAAAGAAATCATTTGGCTTTGT